CCTCCTAACTCAGTAGTGGTGGATGTTACCCAGGCTAAGTCTTGAGCCAGCTCTAACACCACGCCCAACAATAAAGAGAGCAGAAAGCTGGACATCCTTTGCCGGAGGGCATATGCCTTGGCCTCCTTCACCCTTAGGGCTGTAAATTACATCGCAGCCATGGGTGCCTACCACAAACACCTGTGGAACCGTGCACACCCTGCTTTGCAGGTGGCTCTGGCAGAACTTAAGCCCCACGGACTTTCTTTACACCAAGAAGCCGTGACTCTTGCTAGGCAGAAAAGGGTGACTGCCAGACATATTACTGAGGCAGCATCTAAGAGCTTGATGACTGGAGTAGCCATGAGGCGCCACGCATGGCTTCAGTCAGCAAACATTAACGACAATTCTAAGAAGAATACAAGACTTAGTTTTTGATGGTTCCAGTCTGTTTGATCCTAAGACAGACGATATCCTTGAGAATCTACAAAAGGTAAAGAAAACAGTCCGTGCTTACTCTTCACAACCATATTACAAGCAACGTTATCCTTGGAAGAGGCAAACCTCCTATCAACCATACAAAACATATCAAGGGAAACAAAGATATTACCCTCAACAGCCTTTGTACCCTGATCGTCAACATGATCAGCGTCAGCGACCAGACCTCCAGGAAATCTGAATGAAAACCCAAGCAGGGTGGTTGACTTTCATTTCAATCTCACTTCTCACCCACCTGCCATTCATCCTACCCATCTAGCTCCTTTTTTACGTAATTGGGACGACATTACTTCAGATACATGGATACTTGCCATCATTGCCCAGGGCTATGCTGTAAAGTTTGTGGATCTTCCACCTCCACGAATCATCCTCACGCCTCCTTCCGACACCCTAAAGAGAGAGATAAAGGTACTCTTAGAAAAATCAGCCATACCACACACCTCCCCAGATCCTTCAGATCCAGTTTTTTTTTTCTCCAGATACTTTTTGGTTTAAAAAAAATGACTCCTTTCACTTTATTTTGGACCTGCAGGATTTAAACTATTGCATCACTTACCGCCATTTCCGTATGGTAATCTTAGAACGAATCGTTCCATTACTCGATCACGGCGATTGGTTCTCGGTAATCGACTTAAGCAATGCTTATTTTCACATTTCTATCTGACACAATCACCGCAAGTATCTTCATTTCTCTCTTAGAAGTACCTTTTTCAAATTAATCGCCTTGCAATTCGGTCTCTCCACAAAGCCGCGTCTCTTCACAAAATGTATGGCGCAAGTGGCAGCGTTCCTATGCACAAGAGGGATCAGCGTATTTCCATATATAGATGATTGGCTACTGGTAGCCCCCTCGAAACATCTAGCAGAAAGCCACACCAAGACAACTCTGTCCTTACTGGAACATCTGGGACTCCAAGACAATTACAAAAAGTCAGTGTTAATTCTCAAGTGGCAAACTACATAGGTGCCGTACTAGATACGAAGAAAGCAAGAGCTTTTCTCCCATTGGAACGAGCAGTCAAGATCTGATCACTAATACACCACTTCATGCCCCTGCTCTATGTCACGGCTTGCCAAACACAAAAACTTCTGGGCCTCATGGCATCCACCACGTCTATACTCCAGCATGCCAGACTGAAGATGAGGTCACTTCAGGCCTGGTATCTATCACTCTTTGATCTTCTTCTCGACCCGCCCAGCCTGCGTCTTCAGGTCTCTCCCAAGTTAGCACAACAGCTCGCCTGGTAGACTAATCCACACAATCTTTTCATGGGTTGTGCCTTTGCCTCGCTCCTCCTCACCTTGCGAATCACCACAAATGCCAGTCCGGTAGGTTGGGGTGCACAATGCAACCACCTGCAAGTCCATGCCTCATGGTCGCCGAAAGAACAGAAACTCCACATCAACAACTTGGAACTTCTGGCGATTTTCAAAGCTTGCCGTGCTTTCTTTCCCATCATAGCGGGCATGGCAGTGCAAATAATCATAGGCAATACGACTGCCATGTTCTACATAAACAAGCAGGGCAGCACACACTCTCCTCCTCTTCTATACTTGACAGTTCAATTTTGGGAGTGGTGTCTGGATCACCACATTTTTCCATCAGCGATACACCTCTCCAGACAGGACAGTACTTGGGCAGATTGTCTCAGCAGGATGACGACCCAAATGCACGAGTGGACCCTCGACCACAATGTGATCACATCTGCAGAAAGTGGGGATATCCAGATATAGATGCCTTTGCCACACAACGGAACACCAAGTGTGTTGCCTACTTCTCCAGAGCAGGAATAGGAATGGGCTCAAAGGGCGACACTCTCATGATGCAATGGGACAAACATCTCTTGTACATGTTTTCCCCCATCCCGCTCATCCTCAGAACCATTGTCAAGATACATCACGACAATGCGAATGTCATCCTTGTTGTTCCTTGTTAGCCACGTCAGCTGTGGTTCACAATACTGAAGACCATGTCTGTGGACTCCATGAGACTACCATCTATCCCACACCTTCTCACACAACATGACAGGCCTACGTATCACCCAGACATACTTTCTGTACATCGGGGTGGGCAATGAATTTCTATAGGGAGCCACATGAAAAATCTGAACTATGTTTGGGGGCCGAACCAACTTTACATAAAAATAAAATGAAACAGTGATGTTATGATTGTTTTTATTTTAAACTTGTTAATCTTCACAAATACTAAAGAGGTTTTTTGTGGACTGTTAAAGATAAGCAACTGATCAACTTTAGACAAAAAGCTATAAATGGTTTTGACGTTCAACTTGTTCAGTGAGAGAAAACCAGTCTGTCTTGGGCTTGAACAAGCGTTTGAACACCGGACTGGAGCGATGACCGGCGGGCTGGATAGGAGCGGCTCGCGGGCCGTATGTGGCCCTCAGGCCGCACTTTGCCTGCTCTACATCTAACTGCTTGGAGAATAGTATCTTGGTGAATATCCTCATTGTTGGAAGCCTTCTACGAAAACCTTATACAAGAGCAAATGGCTTGCCTTTGACAGATTTGCAACGTCACGAGGTTCGCCAGCCTATTATCCTACCTACCCTTTTTCCTCGACCGTCTACTCCTATGGAGAAGTCTTTGCACCTGCTAGATGTTCGCTGGGCGTTATCTTATTACATTCAGAGAACTGCTCCATTTAGACAGTCTAACCGTCTCTTCGTTTCACCTCATGCGCCTCACAAGGGCTTACAAGTTTCCCCTCAGACTATTTCTAGGTGGCTGGTCCAGACTATTTGCCTTACCCATGAACTACAGTGGGGTCTTGACTTGAGAACTTAATCCGTATTGGAAGGCGGTTCTCAAGTCAAAAAGTCTGTAGGTCAAGTCTCCATTGACCTACAGTGCATTGAAAACCAATTAATCCCGTAACAGGCCGTTTTTGTTCCATTTTGGTTTTTTTCTGGTCTGTAAGTCAATTCTCAGGCTGCAAGTCAAACCTAAATTTTGCGGCCAGAGAAGTCTGTAACTCAAAAAGTCTGTAAGTCAAGCCGTCTGTAAGTCAAGGGTCCACTGTAGCCCACAAGCCTCTGCCGGGCTCCATTAAGGTGCACTCTACCAGAGCAGTAGCTACTTCCATGGTTTTTCTGAGGGGTGTCCCTCTCCAGGACATATGCAGAGCGGCAACGTGGTCTACACCTTCTACGCTTGCATCCCATTACCGGCTGAATGTCTGTGCCAAGGAGGATGCTAGATTTGGACATGCGGTCCTTTCTTCTGTATTGCTGTGACGTCCCTCCACCATTTCCATGTAAGCTTGTTAATCATCCATTAGTGTGCATTCACATTGGCCACGAAGAAGAGAGGTTAAATACCTGAAACTTTGGTTCTTCGAGTGGTCCTCTGTGAATTCACACTTCCCGCCCATCCTCCCCTCTTTCTGTCATGTCTGTCTCTACCTTTGAGCAGCAGCAGATTTGAAGAACTGAGGTAACCGCTAGGACGGGCGGGCCACGTGGGCCCCGGGAGGTGGTCCTAGCGGTTTTTATTCCGAGGCCTCTGCGCATATGCAGACTTAACCCATTAGTGTGAATTCACAGAGGACCACTCAAAGAACCAAAGTTACAGGTAAGTAACCTCTCTATCTTAAGGAAGATAAGTACAGCCTGTACTGTATTGTGTTCAATGTGTTAAACCCTGTGTATAAGCTTAGAGTGCAACAATTGAAGCCATAATATTATGTGCCTTCTGGTTACTAAAAGTTACTGAAAGTCCCTAGAAAGAATTACTGCAAGAATTCAGTTTGAATTGGAAATGTTTTTTTGTTTTTTAAATAACTGCATTTGTCTAAAATTCAGGCAATATTGAAAATATTGAGTACTTCGAAGTTTGCAACAGTAGCTCAAAACAAACCCAATATTGTGCATTCGTCATTTGAGATACAAATTTTAGAATTGCCTGTTCACACAATCCAGCCCTGGATTTTCAGAAAGTTGTTTGGGGGTGGGAGAAGGACACTTGATAATTTTTTATATGAACGTTTTATATTACAGTCAAAATCCTACTACTTACTCACAACAGTGCAAATACAATGGTGGAAATTACAGCAGCAAATTGTTGCTCATTAACAAACCGTCATGTGTGTATTCTGCTTCACACTCCAGACCCATGAGTGGGTATACAGAGAGGGATACAAGTAATTTCTAGCAGTTTTTAAGCTCCACAATGTTCTGAGGCCTCTGTGCATCTAAGATACAAGCAGCAAGTAATTAACTTGTGGTAGTTTATTGCTGTGGCCTTTACACCACTGCAACTTTTGCCACCCTAATAGGATTCTGACCAGTGAGGCCAAAAGTCCATAAACTCTGTATTAAGGTAGTCCAGAACCTAGTTGAAAGGTACGTACTCATAGCAGATATCAATTGCTCCAAATATATGAGAGGCATTTATGTTTTATAAGATTTTATAATAAGTTGAGGTGAAATATAATTAAACTTTAATATTTTCCTCAGAAATGTCTGCACTCTAGGAAATTCTATACAACTTTCTTTTTCTTCTAGAATATTGAAAATGGAAGATTTGCAAAACTGAGATATTTTACACATGCAATGGTTAATAACACAGATTTGTTAATGGTAACAAAAACGTAAGTTTTCCTTTTGTCTGCTAAATTTTTACAAGCTGCATGTCACTTCGCTTTTAATTAAAAAACATGAAAAAACATTTAGCAGTTAACATATTTCTCAGTGTGTGGTAACCAAAGATATACAGTCCTCTTGCCTTTAGGGTCAGTTTAAAAGCAGAACATGCTTTTAAAAATGCATAGCTGTTAGGTTTTTCAGTGTAGGTTGCAAGCAGCTTCACCATGTTTATGGCTAGAATTATGCTGAAATCTTTGGTGTAGAAGCGAAAATCTGGAATTAGATACATAGGAATTGGAACTGCATTTAATGTTTTCATTTACTTAGGAACAGTTGAATTACTAATGAACAGCTGGATAACAATAACCTAAATTTGACTTAACCAAAATGTATGATAATCTCTAAACCAGCCATTCTCAGCTTGTTTTATATAAAGAAATATAGACCAAATCACAATTGAATACGTCACTTAATTAACCTTATAAGTTGGTGTGAAGTGACCAGTCTATGACCCCCTTCAAATGTACCAGGGGCCCCCAGGGGAACATATAGCTTCCACTGAGAATGGCTGATGTGAACTGTACCCTTCCTGTATTTCTTCTGTATAAATTAATACAGAATTACTTTTTTGAGGTCAAACTTTGATATATAGTGGTTTTTATACCCAGTTCTTCTTCATTTGTATTAGAAGCTATCCAGCTTCTTGAGTGGAATGATCAGCTAAAAGGGTGCTGTTATTACTCGGAAGACATCCAGTATGTTCAGTCCTCATATTCTTCAGGGAGACTCCTTCTATGTCCAGTAGATCAGATGGCCAAAGTATTGGAGCTTCACCTTCAGGATCTGTCCTTCCAGTGAGCACTCAGGCTTGATTTCCTTTCGAATGGGTAGGTTTGTTCTCTTTGCAGTCCAGGGACTCTCAAGAGTCTCCTTCAGCACCACAATTCAAAAGCATCAATTCCTTGGCGGTCAGCTTTCTTAATGGTCCAGCTCTCACTACCATCCATCCCTACTGGAAAAACCATACCTTTGACTATGCAGACCTTTCTCGGCAGGGTGATGTCTCTGCTTTTTAAGATGCTGTCTAGGTTTCTCATCGCTTTGCTCCCAAGAAGCAGGCGTCTTTTAATTTCATGGCTGCTGTCACCATCTGCAGTGATCATGGAGCCCGAGAAAGTAAAATCTGTGACTGCCTCCATATCTTCCCCTTCTATTTGCCTGGAGGTGATGGGGCCAGTAGCCATGATCTTAGTTTTTTTGATGTTGAGCTTCAGACCGTTTTTTGCACTCTCCTCTTTCACCCTCATTAAGATGTTCATTAATTCCTCCTTGCTTTCTGCCATCAGAGTGGTATCATCTGCATATCAGAGGTTGTTGATATTTCTTCTGGCAATCTTAATTCCGGCTTGGGATTCATCCAGTCCTGCCTTTCACATGATGTACTCTACATATAAGCTAAATTAGCAGGGAGACAGTATACAGCTTTGTCACACTTCTTTCCCAATTTTGAACCAATCAGTTGTTCCATATCCAATTCTACTGTTGCTTCCTGTCCCACATACAGATTTCTCAGGAGATAGATAAGGTGGACAGGCACTCCCATTTCTTTAAGAAACAGCTATAGTTTGCTGTGGTCCACACAATCAAGTGCTTTTGCCTAGTCAACAAAGCAGAAGTAGATGTTTTTCTTGAACTCTCTGGCTTTCTCCATAATCCAGCGCATGTTAGCAATTTGGTCTCGAGTTCCTCTGCTCCTTTGAAATCCAGCTTGTACTTCTGGGACTTCTTGGTCCGCATTCTGCTGAAGCCTACCTTGTAGGATTTTGAGCATAACCTTGCTAGCATGTGAAATGAGTGCAATTGTACGGTAGTTGGAGCATTCTTTGGCACTGCCCTTCTTTGTGATTGGGATGTAGACTGATCTTTTCCAATCCTCTGGCCACTGCTGAGTCTTCCAAACTCACTGGCATATTGAGTGTAGCACCATAACAGCGTCATCTTTTAGGATTTTAAATAGTTCAATTGAAATGCCATCACCTCCACTGGCCTTGTTGTTAGCTGTGCTTTCTAAGGCCCACTTGACTTTACTCTCCAGAATGTCTTGCTCAAGGTCAACAACCACACTATCTTGGTTGCCTGGGACATCCAGATCTTTCTAGTATAATTCCTCTGTGTATTCTTGCCACCTCTTCTTGATGTTTTCTGCTTCTGTAAGGCCCCTACCATTTTTGTCCTTTATCATGTCCATCTTTGCACAAAAGGGTCCTTTAAAATCTCCAATTGTCTTGAACAGATCTCTGGTTTTTCCCTTTCTATTGTTTTCCTCTATATCTTGGCACTGTTCATTTAAGAACGCCCTCTTGTCTCTCCTTGCTATTCTTTGCAAGTCTGCATTCCATTTTCTGTAACTTTCCCTATCTCCCTTGCGTTTTGTTTCTCTTCTCTGCTATTTGTAAGGCCTTGCTGGACAGCCACTTTGCTTTCATGCATTTCCTTTTCTTCGGGATGGTTTTTGTTGCTGCCTCCTGTAGAATGTTACGAGCCTCCATCCATAGTTCTTCAGGCACTCTGTCCACCAAATCGAGTTCCTTAAATCTGTTCTTCGCTTCCACTGTGTATTCATGCGGGATTTGGTTTAGATGATACCTGAGTAGCCCAGTGGTTTTTCCTACTCTTTTCAGTATAAGCTTGAATTTTGCTATGAGAAGCTGATGATCAGAGCCACAATCAGCTCCAGGTCTTGTTTTTGCTAGCTGCATAAGAGCTTCTCCATCTTTGGCTGCAGAGAAGAATATAATCAATCTGATTTCGATGTTGCCCATCTGGTGATTTCCATGTGTAGAGTCGTTGCTTGTGTTGTCGGAAAAGAGTGTTTGTGATGACCAGCTTGTTCTCTTGGCAAAACTCTATTAGCCTTTGCCCTGCTTTGTTTTGAACTCTAAGGCCAAACTTACCTGTTGTTCCTTTTATCTCTTCACTTCCTACTTTAGCATTCCAGTCCCCGATAATGAGAGGAACATCTTTCTTTGGTGTCAGTTCTAGAAGGTGTTGTAAGTCTTCATAGAATTGGTCAATTTCAGCCTCTTCAGCATTGGTGGCTGGTGCATAAACATGGATGACTGTGATGTTGAAAAGTCTGCCTTGGATTCATATTGAAATCATTCTATCACTTTTGAGATTGTGTCCCACTTTAGCTTTTCCCACTCTTTTGTTGACTATGAGGGCTACTCCATTCCTTCTATGGGATTCGTGCCCACAATAGTAGATATGATAATCGTCTGAATTGACACTCGCCCATTTCCGTCCATTTTGGTTCACTGATGCCCAGGATTTCAATGTTTATTCTTGCCATCTCCTGTTTGACTACATCCAGCTTACCAAGGTTCATAGATCTTACATTCCAGGTTCCTATGCAGTATTTTTCTTTGCAGCATCAGACTTTCCTTTCACTTCCATGCACATCTGCTGCTGAGCAGCCTTCCGGCTTTGGCCCAACCACTTCATTAGCTCTGGAGCTACTTGTACTTGTCCTCTGCTCTTCCTCAGTACCATGTTGGACGCCTTCCGACCTGAGGGGCTCATCTTCCAGCGTCATATCTTTTAGTCTTTTGTTTCTGTTCATGGAGTTTTCTTAGCAAAGATATTGGAGTGGCTTGCCAGTTCCTGCTCCAGATGGATCGCGTTTAGTCAGAACTCTCCACTATGACCTGTCCGTTTTGGGTGTCCCTGCACGGCATAGCCCATAGCTTTTCTGAATTACTCAAGCCCCTCCAACACGACAAGGCAGCAATCCATGAAGGGGGGGTGGTCAATCTAGGGGCTACCTAATCCTCCTTCCCTACTTATTCCCCTCAGATGACTAATATAGGGGTTTATATGCAATTTTATTATTTCAGTAGTTTCGTTTGCATTTTTAGTGGCATCTTGTTTGTGACAAGGGGTACATTTGGACAGTTGACATGTGAATGGCAATACACATATGATGAATTTACTAAGGAGCCATTCATTGTTGATGGACGGAGACTGCGCATTGAAGCAAAGGTAAGATGATAAATCAGACATGGTTGACTTGTAACAAAAAACAAGCATTAGATTAGCTTTAGATAGTAGCCTTGCATTGAACTGATTCAGACAGAGCCAAATTAAGATACATGGAGACCCTGAATTTCATTATATTTAATAGACCCACGGTATATTGTAAAACTTGAAAATTCAGTTTTCAAAGTATTTTATATAGTAGGCCCTCATAATTTCAAGTCCTTACCAAGCTTACTGCAAGGGCTTCCTATGTATTCCTGAACTCAGTGTCAGATTATACTAAAAGATAAAAATATACATAGGTGCAGTAATACCTAATTTTGGGAAAGAAAAATTAGTTTAAAATGTATTCTGTAGTGAGCTGAATGCCTAATTACTGTGTGTTCACATACCTAGTTTTTATTTTGTTTTAATAAATACTTCTATAAAGATTTTTAAAAGAAATCTCATTCATTTCATTACATAGCTGTGAATTATGTGGTAGAAATGTGAAAGGATATCAATTAATTGTATACTTTGGAAAGCTGGTTTTAACAGGCAAATTTTTTATTTCATAGGAACGAGTAAAGTCTGTATTCCATGCCAAGGAATTTGGGAAAATAATAAATTTTAAAACCCCAGATGATGCCAAGGTGGGTGTAAAATACTATTAATATTATACTATAATTTGATCCAAATCTGGAAATAGTATACAAATAGTCCTTGATCCATCTGTGCAGTCTGACAAATGCAAACAAATCTTTCCAATCGATTTAACACACACAAAATCCAAATCTCTACTGTACACCACTTCTTTTTATTGCAACGAAAGTCTCTGAGGAATGAGACAAGACTCTGCAGAGTTGCTGCTGAATAGCTTCAGAAAGTACCGTATTTGCCGGTGTATAAGGTGACTGGGTGTATAAGACCACCCCCCAACATTCCCACTCAGAATGTAGAGTTTGTTATATACTTGCTGTATAAGACTACCCCCTCTTCCGCATGCGTGATTCTGCTTTGGCTGCATCATGGGGAGAGTTACTTTTGCCCCTTTTGGTTCCTTTTCGGAGAGAGCCAGGGTTTGCTGGAAGAAGGAACAGCAGAGAGGCGGCAGCCATTTGGAGAGGCAGCAGCCATGTGGTTGCATCTCAAAATGGCTGCCGCCTCTCTGCTGTTCCGACAGTCAGCTGTTCGGTGGTAGAGTCAGGCTGTTCCCAGGCTAGGAGCGGGGCTCTACTCGGTCTTACTACCAGGTAAGTGACTTCGCTGGGAGAGAGGGAGGGTTTGCTGGACAAGCACCCAGCGTACAAGACGAACCCCCCCCACTTGGAGGCATGTTTTTCAGGGCCATAAAGTCATCTTGTATGCCGGCAAATACGCTAACCTTGCATTGGTTCAGACAGAGCTATGTTAAGATAATATTCACATGTAACATCTACATGATTGCCTTCTGTTTAGGGCATGGGGGAACAGGTTCCAAACTTTTACTGTCTGTGTAAATACATGGGACAAGATCCAATGCAAGATTTCCATTGATAGAAGAAAGAATCAAGCAAGGAAAGTTAACTCTTTCATCCATTGCAGTCCTTTTTGTATGCCAATATCCCATTCCAGGGAATCAGGGACCCTTTAGAGCTGGGCTTTGGGCAGTTCTCAAGGTGACCAGATGGGAGGAATGTCCATCACACTGACATTTTAGCATTACTGCAACATTAGACTTAGTCCATAGTGATATATGATCACTTTGGTGTTGCCTCTATGGCTGGCACCACTTAGATGTGACAGTAGTTCCATAGCCATATGACATATCCCCTAATCCATATTCTCAGAAGTGAGAATGTAGCTCCCTTCGGGAGGGAGGTTCTAGTAGAGCAGGGGTCCCCAGTCCCTGGGAAGTACCGGGCCACCGAGACAGATTTTCAAGGGCCAAAGGAACACACTCACGTGCACACACCCGTCTGCCGCTGCATGCACACACACACGCTCCCCACATGCAGATGCGCTCCCGCCTCCCACATGCATGCACACACCACCACACATGTACAGACACACGCACACCCCACCACCCCCAGTCCTTGGGAGAATGGTCTTCAACTATACTGGTTCCTGGTGTCAAAAAGGTTGGGGACCACTGTAATAGAGGACGCAAATATGAGATGCATTGGCATTTGAATGATCTTTTACTATGAAGGCATAGTTTTATAGAACAATATTTGGATGATGATTCACCAACCAATTTTTGCTATCTAAATTATCTCTTTCATTTCCACAGTGGATCCTCTCCAAGCTGGAAGAAGTGAGGGAGAGCCAGCCAAAGTTATGATGGTTTAGACAGACAAAATAAAGGCTGTGCAGCTCAGGCTATTTTACATTTGATTGCAGCTTGTCATATGTGATACAGTTTGAATATTAAGGAGGTAGGACTGTGATTATTCAAGTCGATTGATTTTAAGTCTTCAATCCAGCTGAGCGAAAAGGCTGCATTGGTCTGTGTTGTACAAGCTGTTGTACTTTTGACAACTTCTGCCAAATTGTGGCTTATTAGATTAATTTAGAAATTATACTCAGTTATTTAAATCAGAAATACAAAAATGAAGTGTTTTTTTCCTGTTTGTCACATAATCTACAAAGGCTAAACCCTTGATAGTCTTGTGAGGTTATGTGGTAATCAGTTCCACCCCTTTAATTTGAGCATTTGTTTTCCTGTCTGTATTTAGAGAATTTTAATTACTATGCTATAAATTGCCACATTACAGATTAATATTCACTGAAATTCAGTTTAATTCTTCAGGGAAAGACTGACATAACCAGCACTGCTCTTATATTATGAATGACTTGCTGACCAGTTTATTCAACAGAAGCCTTTTTATTTACTTATATATAGATATATAGATATATCATGAGGTTGTTTAGTTTTTTTATACAGATAAACAGTTTGTGATACTGCAATATCATTTTTAACATTCAGTTTTTTATACAATGCAAAAATTTAACAAATGTGTCCTGGTGCCTCATGACAAGGAGATTTGCACAGCCATTTATTGAAATAATAAAACAAGTAAGGGTGTGCCTTGCAGTAAAGCTTTAAATGGCATGGTCTTTACTTCTGACAGTTCAGTAAGTCACATAAACTTTGTACAGCAGCATGTGTTGAAACAGCTCTTCATTCAAGAGTATCTTGGCTTTATATACTACTTGAAGCCAAAAAAAAAGAAAAGAAAAAGAAAATCTAAGTTTCATGACCATAATGAATGCATCATTTTAATGTGTGTATGTGCATTCCTTAAAAAATTAACATTCATCACTTAAAATCCAATAATGGGCCTCAGTGGGGAAAGGTTTCATAAGATGTTGTTAGGCTGTACAGTAATGCTTATAAACCCAACGTAAGTATAAGTTGAAGTCACTTCATAAAAGGGAAAATGAATGCAAATATATGATAGTATTATCTAAATGAGATTTGAGTAGTTTGATGCATGCAGTAAATGTCTGCGGACAGAATGTTATTTCCAAAGTGCTACTTGGAAGATGGTCGCAGGGGAGATTAAGATTCACTAGTGGTGCTTAAGCTACCCAAACTGTAGCTTTGTTGTAAAAGCTAAACAAAGTAAATGGCATGCCAAACGTAACTGTATATTCTATGTATTTCTATAGTCTTGCTCCATTATGTAACACCTGAGGTGGTTACAATTATATACTGCAGTTCTTCCTCATATTTTGTTATTTGATAGAGTGAATATAAATTAAATTAATGAATGCTGGAAATGCCAAAATATTATTTTTATCGTGGTTCACAAGAATATGAAGTCTGTCCAGATTCACTGATTTAACTGACACTCCTATAAACTTTCAACCACCCATGTTGCTTCTTTTAAATGTACACAATAAATATTCTAATGACTCTTATATTGTCTAAACCATCTTTCTTTTTGTTTCTAGTATTACTTTGTGTACCTACTTAATACAAGACATACTGTGAAACATTCAACTGGCCATATTTATCCAATTCTCAACTCTGAAAACTATTTAATATGTACAGGGGTAATTGACAGCTCTAGAAATGGCCGTATGAAATATTTACTTTCCATATTGTTTATCTAAGGACATACTGTTTATCTAATTACATAAGAGCAATAAAGCACTTGGTGAAATCCAAGACTACTGTATATGTCAACTAGTGGAAGAGATCCCTGTGTGCACCCAAAATTAGGCACTAGAGGACCATCCAGAGGAGATTTGGAGATGCAGAAATGAGGAGTCAGTTTCTGTGGTGTTGGATGTTGCTCTTTGGGTTAACTGTATATGTTGTTGGACTGCAACTTCCAGTTGCCATTTGGCACAAGTCTTAGCAAAGCAGAGGGCTACATTAGCTTTGCCCATCTTTCACATACTTGATGCCTCCAGCTTACACTCTGAACTGTCTACACCCTAGCCCTAAGATACGATCGCATCTGCTTGGATCCACAGGATACAGTGTCTAAACTCGGGGAACTACAAAAAGCATTTCTCAAAACTGCAATACCTACCCAATATGAGTATAGGAAAAATTATAGGGCAGGGTAGATACCACCTTCTACAAGGCAAACCCAGAAAAGAAAGTAAATGAAAACAATTTGTCACTTTCCCAAATCCTTGGTAGCTGGGCTGTGCTTGCTTACAGACAAACCTCTAGTTTCAAACAACTATTAACATACAACACTGATAGCGGAACTAGACCCTACTACAAAGATCTCAGCTCTCTCCTCACATCTATTCTAGCAGCACAATTACAATATCCAACAATGTCACTCCCCAAAAAATCAAAGGATTGTTTATCTGCTAATGTTATCTATGTCATTAATGCCCTTCTGCACTCTACACAGGACAAATGATCTATATAAAACAAAGCTATTTCAGAACATTTCAATTTCTCTTTATATAGATCATTCCCAGGACATAACCAGACTGTTATAGAAAAAAGTAAGTACAAAATGAGACTGAAATGGGAAAGCTGAGTTAAGATACCTAAGTTCCATAGTGTCAAAAAGATTAAATATCAATTAGGGATTCTTAGCTCTTCACTAAGTGTGAAACCCTCCACTGAAATCTGGAATACTCCCACAATTTACCAATTGCATCAGTAATCCTATTGTCACATTTGTACACTCATTTCCTCAGCCTACCCTATATGTGACTTGCTAATTGAAGTAATTTATGGGATGATAGCTCCACTCCTGTGAATTATTGCCACTTTGTCAATTATCCATATTCTCACCTGGTCATGGGGCTATGGATAAACATATTGGTTATGTAGTCTCATTTCAGTGGTTGAAGAAATGAACTTGATCCACAAAAATTCAAACAGAAATACAAGTCTTCTAAGATGCCACAGCATCTTGGTTTTGTAACAAGCAGCAGCAGAGGGAAAACTGAGAAGCAGGGTCATGCTGTTGCCTCTGCTCTGTCCAAACGGTTTCAATTGCAGCTGGCCATTCTAAGTACTTCTGTTCATCATTAAGAATTAATGCTTGACTTTTACATTCTCCTTTCCCTTTTCCTCCCTCTGTAAATTGATATTTAGCTTGAGTAACTGACCTGCTTGATCCTCTGGGGAAGTAAAACTGCTTTATCTAAACAATATTTCTCATCACTGCTAAAACAGTGATAAGAGATACCCACAGGTTCACAAATTGCTAGGCAAGAGAGAGCTCTAAATGGAAGTTGTTAATCGTTTTTTCAAAGTTCCACAGCATAAGGCTGATGACATCACAGCAAGTTTTGGAAATTCAACATATCTCGCTCCCAAGTCTCAAATATTCACTTTCATTGTCAGTAAAGATGGGACTTTTGGGGAAAAAAAGTAAGTCACAGTCCCACAATTAGGCTTAAAGGGTTCCAGGGAAGACTGAGAATTCTTTTTCCCTCAAAACCTCATCCCAGGATTGTTGGGAACCCATGTGGCGAAGGGATGGCTGGAGGAAGTGCTTAATCAGACACCACACTTCAAGAAGGCTGCTGACAAATTGGAACAAGTTCAGAGGAAGGCAACGAAGTTGATCAGGGGGCTGGAAACCAAGCCCTATGATGAAAGAACTGGGCATGTTTAGCCTTTAGAAAGGAAGGCAGGGGAGATAGAATAGCACTTTCAAATACTTGAAAGGCTGTTCTAGAGAGGAAAGACAGGATCTGTTCTCAATCATCCCATGGTGCAGGACACGCAACAATTGGCTCAAGTTACAGGAAGCCAGATTTCAGGTGAATGTCAGAAAAAAACATCCTAAGTGTTAGAGCAGTACAACAATGGAACCAAATACCTCAGGAAGTAGTGAGTGCCCCAGCACTGGGGCTTTCAAGAGAAATGTAGACAACCACCTGGCAAATAGCCTTTGATTTGTATTCCTGCACTGAGCCTCAATGGCCTTATAGACCCCTTCTAACTTCATGATTCTATGAGTCTACTGAAAATCATAACCACCACTAAAGTCATCCCAGCAGTGGTAATTTTATGTTACTAAAGGTTTTCCCCTCCTGTCCCTCTGCCCTATGGGTTCCACACGATGAAAGGGATGACTCTGGATTCACAAGGGCTTCATGACAAGAAAGATGCTTAATTTTCAAAAAACTGCCCTGGCTGATTATGGCATCATCATTACACTGTGGAACTTAATACAAACAGGAGCTCAGCCATTTTGTGGTTAGAACATATCTATATTAGACTAATAGTTTAATGCGATTAAACAGAAAACAAAGGGAGTGAGAATAAAATGACAAATGAACAAATACATCACCTCTGCATTTTGGCAAGAAGATCTACAGCACCGGTCCTTCAGCTTTTTGCAGAGACTTGTTTTCTGTTTCACAGCAAAGCCAAGAAAGCCAAAGAAAGCAGTCTCGCGGGAAAGAAAAAACCCAACATCCTCCTTTCTCTGATCACAGTATCACCTACCTTTTGCAGGTTGCAGGAACAGTAGGTGGGTATTTGTTTCATGAACTAAAAGTGAAATACTTAATATGTAAACTTCCTTCTGCAGCTGACATAAAGGTATTAAACTTACACACAAACTGAACACTGGCCACTTTCAAATCAAAGAAAGCTGTTTTAGCCAGTGCCGTTGGAAGAAAGTCATAAAATGTAAATCATTAGATTTAATAAACCTTGGTTTTAGTTCAGTCCCAAAATATGATCCTTTTGACAATGCTGCTAACCTGACACTGTCACAGTAAGGCATTTTAAAAATTGGCTAGGGCAAGAGATTTCACATAATTTTAAATGAGAATTGAATATAAGCACTGGTATCCAAAGTGTATGATTTAAAAACTAAAAATTTATGGCTTACACTCCTATTTGTGAATATGCACTACTATGCAGGATATGCATTGCAATGCAGGATTTAATGATCAGCAGGGATACAAAACATATTCACAGAGAGCTATCTTGTTAGTGTCACACAGAAGGCATCTTGGTCAGTGAATGTAACTAAGTAGATAAGAGTGATGGGGTTCCTTTTATGCCAGGTTGAATTCCTGGAGATTTGACTGCAGGACGGTGTCTCTGACAGCAGCAAAGACAAATCGAATATTCTCTGTGTCCGTGGCACATGTAAAATGAGAATAGATCGCCTTCTTTTTGTCTGGGTTCTGATCCTGATATAACTTCAGAATGAACTCTTGGGCAGCTTTGACATCTTGCTTAGGTCCTGCTCAAAAACAAAGTAAATAGCTTACTTAAGAGACACAGTCCTTCCTATTTTCAAATACATTTCCATTCTCACTAGCAAGTGATTAAAGCAATATGCACTGACTACAGTGATGCCTCGCAAGACGAAATTAATGTTTGCTGAGTTATGTCGTCTTACAAAATTTTCATCTTGTGAGGCGCAGTTTCCCATAGGAATGCATTGAAATTTAATTAATGCATTCCTATGGGCAAAAAAACTGGCGGGGGACCTCTGAAAGTGACGCTGGCTCCCTGGGGCCCCCCACCTCTCAGCTGTTCAGCGCTTGGTCTCAGAGGCTTCCTGGGGCTTGCCCAGCACGGAAAAAGGCAGGGGGAAAGCCTAATTAAATTTCAATATATTCCTATGGGAAACCGCGCCTTGCAAGACCAAAAAAAATTTTCCTCTTGCGAGTCACCCAAAAACTCCCAAGACCCTTATGTCTTGCGAGTTTTTTGTTGTGAGAGGCATTTGTCTTGCGAAGCACCACTGTATTCCAAAAACACCACAATCATCATAACCATCAGTTAGTCCCATGACCCCACCAAATGCACCTGTTAGGGTGATGGGACTGAGAGAAAGGCCTGTCCTGATGATTTTGACACCTAATCAGCCTCTTAAAGGGAGACAGAGTCCTTGAGATAGCTTGGACCCAAGCCATTTAGGGTTTTGTAGGTTAAAACCAGCACTTCAAATACTGTACCATAAATGAATCCGTAGCTAGCAGAGCTGGTGTAACAGGGATGGTACGTGATCCCTGTAACCAACCCAGTTAACAATCAGGCTGCAGCATTTTGGACCCACTGAAGTTTCTGAACACTTTCCAAAGGCAGTCCCATGTAATGTGTGTTAACAATGATCCAACTTGAATTTAAATGAAAAGGAGAGCTAGAGTTGGGTGTCATCCACACACTGGTGACACCAAACCCCCAAACTGTGGACAACCTCTCCCAGTGGTTTCATGTAGATGTTAAATAACATAGGAGACGAAACAGAAACCCGAGGGACCCTGCAGGTCAGCAGTTGAACAAGGGCCACTCAGCACCATTTATGAGTTCTCTCTTCCAGGAAGGACCAGAGCCATCGTAAAACAGTGCAAAGATGGGCCAGAAGGATACCATGGCCAATGGTTTCAAAAGCCACTGAAAGGTCCAGAAGAATCAACAGACATACTCCACCTAGCTCTATATTTTTGCTATCAAATTCTCAGTGTAGGTCATTCAGCAAGGTGACTAAAGCAGTCTTTCTCCTGTAACCAGGCCTGAAGCCAGATAGAGATGGAGCTACATAATCTGTCTCATCCAGTAACCTCTAGAGCTGAGAAGCCATTACCCACCCTAGCACCCTGCCCAAGAATGAAATATTAGAAACTGGTTGGTAATTATTCAGTAGTGTGGAGTCCAAGATCTTTTTTAAAACAGTCTTACTATTGCCTCCTTTAAGCATGCTGGGATCCTACCCTGCTGCAAGGAGGCATTCACCACTCCTCCTAACCACTCAACCAGTTCCTTTCTGGTAGCTTTTATAAGCCAAGAATAGCAAGAGACCAGCAGACACCTCTCCAAGGGTCCTATCCTTCACCATAAGGCTGCAGGAGCTGAACCTCATCCATTAACACATGGCAAGCAAGGGTCAAAATTACATTCACAAGACCTTTATCAACTACAGCATCAAAATCAGAGCATATCTGAGCAATTTTGCCTGCAAAGTGTTGTGCAATATGTAATGTTATAATTCACTATCCGATACTAATTGGCCCAGGGTAGAACAATTAACCCCAAAGTCAGGAATGTCTGCAGCAAAAAATAACTTTGCCTTTATAACTAGAGAAATAAATCTTGACATTTGGAATGTGACAAGTCTATCTTTATCTGAAAACAACATGATTAGTTTCTCCTGGCTCTCTTGACAAATATTCAAAAATGAACTTAAAAACCCTTTCAAACTCAATCACATTTATAAAAAAACAGCCTTCATTATGCACAGTCAATTCAGCAAGCATCTACACAATTTGTTTAATGTGATACTTTTTAGAAGAGGAGCTTCCTGAAGTGATGAAAACCATCTCTCTGTCACAGCCTATTATTTTCTTCACTTGTGTATCTTGTATTTCACATGCTCTGTTTTATGACTGGCCATTTGGAAAGCAAACACAGGCTTAATTGGGAAGTCTGGTTTCTGAAACAAGTATTACTTGGGGGAGGGGGGAATGCCACTATGGAAAATAAAACATTAATTGCAGGTAATTACTAGCACTCCTGCTTAATCCCAGGATCATACTTCCTATAATTAACTGAACAAATCAGACTTACAACACACAGTCCTTGTTTAACAAGGGAAATCCTATTTGGAATAGCTGCTTACCTGTGAACTCTGGAAAATAGGTAGTTAAATGTGAATACATAATCTTCTCTTCCAAGAGATCTTTCTTATTTAAGAATAAAATGATTGATGAGTTCAGAAACCAAGGATATGTGATGATTGTTTTAAATAAGGCTTTGCTTTCTACCAAACGGTTCTGCAAGAAAAGTAAAAAATGTTTAAAACACTTCACTACAATAATGTTATGATCAAACTGAAATACAGTTTGTCGTCTGCAAATCATATTATAGTCTTATCATATTTTCAACCCAAACCTGTGCTCCTGATGCAGTTAATTTTGGCACATGCATTAGGTAACCTTAAAATGCTGTAAATTAAATCTGAATATTCCATTCAACTGAATGTCATGATTATAAATACACCATCCCAACTATTGCAACCATTGAAAAATGAGTGCCAGGTATGTCCATACCAAATCATTGTCATATGAATTGTATCTGCAAACCAAGTTCAATGTCAGTTGAGCACTAATTTTCTTAAGAGATGAGATCTGGCACTCTGACATTACATTCTGCAACAGCAGGGTTGGATAGACAACAGCTAACAGGCGTGGTGGCGCTGTGGGTTAAACTGCAGAAGTCTCTGTGCTGCAAGGTCAGAAGACCAGCAGTAGTAAGATCGAATCCACACGACAGAGTGAGCTCCCATCGCTTGTCCCAGCTCCTGCCAACCTAGCAGTTCGAAAGCATGCAAATGCGAATAGATAAATAGGGACCATCTCGGTGGGAAGGTAACAGCGTTCCGTGTCTAAGTCGTACTGGCCACGTGACCATGGAAGATTGTCTTCGGACAAAACGCTGGCTCTATGGCTTGGAAACGGGGATGAGTACCACCCCCTAGAGTCGAACACAACTGGACAAAAATTGTCAAGGGGAACCTTTACCTTTACCTTTAACAGGCTGGTTGTAGCTCCAAGAGGAGCCTTTTAAAGACCCTTCCCAAAAGAATCTTTTTAATTGAATTTTTAAAAAGCAACACAGGAGAAGACATTTTGACACATCCAGAACAGCGCATGCACATAGCGTCAAACAAATCCACAATAGAAGTGGATGTCTGGTCCCATTCCCATGCCCAACCCTCAAAAAACAGGCCATTCCAGGACTTGGCACAGGGCTTAGGAGGGTGTTTGTCATGGAAATATGGGCCCAAACACTACTGAAGTTGTCCCCATTCCCGCACCTCAACAATTCTGGTTCTACAAATGCAAAGTGTAAGTGCTGTGGCAACTTTGAGGCTAATAAATATACAATGTGTGGTTTGTTGGTTTCGATAAGAGTGCTTCTGTGTGTAAACCTGTGGAGAACTACTTTCCTTTACCTCATTATCAGATTCTGTCAAGACTTGGTCATATTCACTCAGGGCAACTAAGAATATTAGAGAGGTAACATTTTCAAAGCAATGAATCCACTTCCTTCTTTCTGATCTCTGGCCGCCAACATCTACCATCCTGTAAACAGAAACATCAGTAACTAAGTGGTAACTTAACATTCAATGCCTCTCTGGAACACCAGGAATCAGACTTACATTTTCTGTGAAACCAACTTTACATTGAAAGAGTAAGTTAGTATAAAACCCAGGTAAATAGTAATAGAACACCCAGATAAATGGTAATATACTGACATTGGCAAAATTCGTCTAAGGTTAAGCTCAGAAAAAAAGTTTTGGATATATAAGAACTTGACTCATATGGCTGCCAAAATCTTGCTTGAATCATAGTTTGAGCCAGATAAAAACCCCCATCTCCACTCCCGCCATCTCTACCCCTACTCTACAAAACACCACCTTTCCCTTCCTTTCCCTTCCTCTCCTCTCCTTTCAGGCGGAGGTACCAGCTCAATTAGCAACAACAGAGGTACCACAACATGGAAGTAATGTATCAGAATTACTTAGTACTTTTAAAAATGTAAGTAATGGCCACTGGGATTCTTTATGAGCATTAAAAGTCTGTTAATTTTTTAAAGTACCATAATAAGTTTACCTGTCACTCCAAAACAATACTTTGGGAGTCATTTTGATACTTTAGGCATTATATGTTAAAATAAACAAGTAGAACTAGTGTATCAGCAACATCTTACTTTTAAGAACAAAACAAAAAGAGTGCAGTAGGACTACAGTATCCACAAGGAATCCGTTCCAAGCCCCTTTCCACGAATGCCAGGAAAAGCGGATAAGTGAAGCACTTACTTCCAGGTTTTTTGTGTGTCCATGCAGTTGAGAGAGGGAATCGTGCCCCAGTCTTGCGAAAGGACTCGGTTTCCTGCACTCCTGTTCGCAAGAGAGGCTTCCCTGAAGCCTGAAGCAGCTGCTGCCTCCCACTCCTGCCCCATACAGCTTCTCCATTTTACCAGAAGCTGCTTCTGTCAGAGACATCAGGCCAGGAGTACAGTACATTACACTATATAGGATAGTCTCTGATTCCATCTAGTGGTCAGTCCTGGTAATAAACTTTGGGAAATTTCTAGGTTTTTTTTTTAAGAGAGCAGGTAAGAGAAAGATATAGTGTTCCTACTGTAACAAAAACCCATTGCATCTTCCCAAATTAACAGTAATATGTTACCTTCTTATTTTTGCAAGTAATGTTTATTTACTTATTTATTTATTTACTAGATTTTTATACCACCCATCTAGGAAAACCAGGTACTTTGTGTGGTTTACAACAATATATCAGATGTATTATAAAACGGGCCAACTACAACCAAATACTATGAATAACTACTACAAGGCAGAACAGGCAGTGACAGAACTGACAATAAGGCATTCCAAATGTTCTTTTTCTTCTTTCCTACAGTCTACCTTAACCAAGCAGGGCCTCCCCAAATGCTTCTCTAAAAAGTTCTGTTCTTAGGAGCTTCTTAACAGACTCAAGTGCTTGGTGTATTGCCTGCAAGAAGGCATTCCGAAGGGAGGGCACCACTGCCAAGAAAGCCCTGTTCTTTCTCGAAGTCTTATGGCCTTCTCTTTGTGTCAACACCCACAGGCGTGAGGCTCGAGAGGACAGAGTAAGATGGGCAGCAGAGCTTAGAAGAAGACATTCTGACAAGTAGTGAGGTCCCAACTCATTTAGGGCTCTCTATGTTAGTATCCCCCTTCATGGATTGCTGCCTTGTCGTGGTGAAAGAGCTTGAGTAACTCAGAGAAGCTATGGGCTACGCCGTACAGGGACACCCAGGACTGACAGGACATAGTGGAGAGTTCCGACTAAACGCAATCCACCTGGAGTACGAAATGGCAATGCCACTCCAGTAGCTTTGCCAAGAAAGCTCCATGATCAGAAACAAAAGGCTAAAAGATATGATGCTGGAAGATGAGCCCCTCAGGTCGGAAGGCGTCCAACATGGTACTGAGGAAGAGTGGAGGACAAGTACAAGTAGCTCCAGAGCTAATGAAGTGATTGCGCCAAAGCAAGAAGGACGCTTAGCTGCAGATGCACCTGGAAGTGAAAGGAAAGTCCAATAACATGAAGAAAAATACCGCATAGGAACTTGAAATGTAAGATCTATGAACCTTGGTAAGCTGAATGTGGTCAAACAGGAGATGGCAAGAATAAACATTGACATCCTGGGTGTCAGTGAACTAAAATGGATGGGAATGGGCAAATTTAATTCAGAAGATTATCGTATCTACTATTGTGGGCAAGAATCCTGGAGAAGAAATGGAGTAGCCCTCATAGTCAACCAAAGAGTTGGAAAAGCTGTACTGGGATACAAT